GACCATTATTACCGGGCGGAAGGTTTTCTTAACTTTCCCCCCTGTCCGCAATGATCCGTGCCACCTTCGTTCGAAATTCACCGCGGCAAATATACGTCGACGAAAGTGTCCTCTCCTGGGTTGTCAGGAGGTGGGCTGTCTTTCCATCGTCCGAAGGAGTTTGATCGATATATAAATATCGTTCGGTTGCGGGTGGGGTCTCGTCACAAAATCGCACGATGTAGCGTTCGATCGACGGGCACACAGCGCGCACACAACGAATATGAGAATGAAAACCGGAAGTAATAGGGAAGCGAGCAAACGTGGTTTTTTGTTAAAAAAATAATATATAAATATTTTTTTTCTCAAGACGTGCGAATCCTCTTATATTTGTCGCTCGAATAGGAAGCGCGTATTTTTTTCGGCAGGAGAGATTGACGTCATAAGGACGCGCGCGTGGCCTTCCCCATTGTGTGTTAATCCGTGTAACAATTGCTTAATCGCCATCGACCTGTTGGCGCTTCGCGTCTTTTCCACGAAAAGCTGCAGGTTTGTGCCTCGGCGCGCACCTTGCGTAATAATAACGAGCCCGACGATTTATTCCGCGCGGCCGTACGTTTATTTGCGCAAGGGTGGGTTTACATAAAAATTATAATTAGATCCCGCGAAGACGATATATCGATGAATGCGAAACCTTTAACCGGCGCGTGCACGCGAACGCGAGGCACAAAAGTCGTTGCCGGCCGTCTCGCGACGCGCCGCGATATAACGATATCTGTTCGTTCACGCGAAACGACTTTGATTAAGCTTTAATGAACGCGGTCGCTTTCTCAAAATAGAACGTTCGAATCACCGCAACCTGTTTCTACGTTCTTCAGTCGGACGTTGAAATGTTTAATGATTAAGAAGACCTACACGCTAGCTAGAAACCTGGAGCGTTACTCACCGAGGAAGAACTGAGAGCGCAAAGTTCTTTAAAGATATAATTAAAGTCGTTATCTCTAGACCGTTTTAAGCCCATATTTTTCCACGCGGATTACACACTGCAAAGTCCACGGCTTTCCGCAGATAACGCGTATAATTTCTGTTTCTTAAAAAAGTACAAGCTTAAAAGACGATTTGGGATGCATATCATGGGCAACTGCGTCACCGATACGCAGATACGCGCGGATCTTTATCAGAAGACCCGGTAGAACCACAAGGGGATTAAACATTGCGCGCGGTCACATTTGCATTTAGGCGCGACGCGCGACGTTTTGTATTTACGGCGCACTGTTCGCAGAAGGATTACATTCCGCTCCCTCGATTGTTGGCCGATGCCGTTGCGCAAATGAAGCCTAACGCACCAAACGTCCAATTTGTCGGCGAAACTTTAGCCGCGCGGAAGATTGCCGGTTATAAATACGGTGTGCGTAACCGTCGGACGTTTATGGCCGCGATACTAGACGCTAATTTACAACAGTCGTGGCTTAAAGCCTCGCTTGGCGCGTAGCGCGAGGAATTAATGTAATATCGCGATTACAAGAGAGCGCCGCGGCGCGACTCTCCCGCCGCGTCACGTGTCTGCATGATTTTAGTCGTTTCTCGAGCGATGCGTCGCGTCGCGTCGCGTTGCGTTGGATTGCAATATCGATGTTTCCGTCGCGCGACGATACGCTTTCCCATCGATACTACGCTCCGCTCGGTCACTTTTAAAAGCGACTTCTCGCAGATGTGTCGCGGTACATATTGATTATGTGCTATCAACGTATACGCGGGGTGGATGCATCAGTGAATGACCGGTCACCGGTGCATGACCGCTGAATCTTTACGCTCACTTCTCTGGTGGTCACGTGAGATAACATGATTCCGTCTGTCCAAGATGCCAATACGATCGCTGCCGGTTGTTACTTGCTGTACGGGATGCGGACAAAATTTTGCCGTTACCGGAGAGAGAACGATTTTTTACGAACGAGTGGAAAGTATGAGATATATATCTTCTTTTTCTCATACACTTTTCGCGAATGCCGAAGGAATATATATTCGCGTGCTTCTCGGACATACGTAAATAAACGTATACACGTACGCACGCGTTATTACGCACACGCCGCGAATACCGTATGAGGAGCGTATTCTCCCGCTGATTTTGCAGCGTCCTATATTAAGCACTTCCTACGCATTCACATGGCGCAGCAACCTAGAAAAGTGACATCTTTAAAAATGGATAACCTTTTTATCATATATCGTAGGCGGCAGTTTTTCCTAGCGATACCGCGGGTGTTTTTCTAAAGATAAACTCGGGTATTCTTTCAGTTTTCTCCCTGGTGTCTCTTTTTGCGATATTCATCGGAGTGCACTGCCGGGAATCCGAAGCCGCGACAAACGAGTTCCGACGGCACAGTTCGGTATTGCTAAATATCGCTCTCGTAACGATTTTTTGAAAAATATTACCGTATACACTGTAAATCTGTCGTCGCGCCTAGAGAGATTAACGCATTATTTGTGTCCCGTTTGTATACGTTTGATTCGCCATAAAGCGCAAGCATGGCAGCTGAACGTATCTGTACATACAGGATGTTTTAAAAGTTCTACAAAATGAAAACAAAGCTTTTTCGAACGTAAAGATAAATTTTTTCGTGAAAATTTGATGAGTAAATTAATTCAAATTATTTATTATTATTATATTTATTATAAAAAATTAAGAAGAAATTTCTGCCTCCGTTTTCTAATAATTTTAAGGAGACTTGGGGAAGGGAGAAAGAGAGAGATAACGAAAATTGCACTCTCCTAAAAAATCGCCAGGTAGAACTGCCAGTAATCGACATATTGTTACCGTTGCGTCGCACTTACTTCTGCGTCACCTTGTATACGTCGTGAGTCCATCAAGACGGTCAGGACGCGCAACCGGTCACTCGGATTTCGCTGTTACTTGGCTACCTCGCAATTTTGACACGAAAGTTTTCGTCGTTCGGTGAGCAAGCTCGGATTTCCCCGTTCATCAATCGATCGGCTTGACTCATCGCGCGGAATATAAGCGCGCGCGATGCGATGCATACCTACGTGTACCCCGATCGTACACGAACGCGCGGCATATACACGGATTACGGAAGGTGCGGGGGCCGCTACAGGGTGACGCAAAGTTTCGTTCTTTTACTCGAGGCTGAGTCACCGTGACGCGACCTGATGAATTACCCCGAGCACACATTTCCAACGAGTTCCACGGAGCGCTGCTTATTATTTCGCTGAAACGGATTACCGCGATTTCCATTTGTATTCGTATACACGTCCCGCATGCCCGCGCTTTATACAACGTTGAGCAAAATATACAGATAATATATCGTTATACGCCTCGTATGTCAGTCTTGCTTTTTATTTTTTTTAAAGTTCATTATTCTGTACTTGAGAGTTGATTCTCCAAAGCAGCTAAACCAATTAGTAATTAAACAAAGTTCTACTGAATATATGAATGTGATACCGTTATTAATTTTTTCAATTAGTGTTTTAATATACCAATGTTCGGCATTTTGATTAAGATTGGAGAACGCAGGGAGTACGTCTTTCTGCAACCCTTCGCTAAGATGCGATTGCTCTTTTTTTATGGTTCGCCAGGCGAACCCGGCACGGTCGTACTACTTGTTCGCACCACTTTGTTAGGATCCGACGGGTGTCGAGCCGGTTAACTTAAACGTAACTGTACCTCGTGGTACCGTAGATCGTTCATAATGCCGACCAGCATTTCTGACAGTCAGCACTATAATTAGAGCACGTCGCGCACGCGGGTAAATGACGGCGAGAACGCTAGAGAGAGGGGAAGAGAGAATGAGATGTGTACCGATATGAGATAGATTGAGGAAGAGAGGGCGAGCCCAAGAGGGTAGAATTGAAATCGCGTTGCGTTTCCGAGACATTGCGGGATTGCGATCGATCGGATGTTTTTGTACGCCCGGTATTATTCGGGCGGCAACTCTGACTATGAGTCATACATTGTGCAATACTACGTACTACGTACCTATCTGAGTGCGATCAGATGGAATTATCGTGTGTCGATGGCAAACGAGAAAAATGGTACCGCATGTCGCTGCAATTAAGGAACCTTGCGACATTAAATTATTAAGCCACATTTAATCTGAATTTCATTTTTTATTTGACGTCAAATCGATTTAACGTCAATCAGGGGCTGAAAACGATAATAAAACGTTTTGGGTGATGCGTTCATTCTTTGTAGGTCATCTATTGCATGATACAGACCTCATTTTCGCGTACGAGGCAATCATTTTCAATGTAAATCGCGGCAGCGCGTGTCTCACATCGAAATTTACGATTTTCCGCGATAGGCTGAAGAGGCTACGAAGTTCTTAAAATAGAGCCTCGAAACTGACAGGTTGTTTCGAAATGTAAATCGTTAATGTATCCGCATGATAAGAGCGGCTAATAGCCTATAAGAAACGAGTGATGAGAATTCTCAGCTACGATGACGACGTAGGTAGGAGAGGGTAAAAGACCGATCTCGGAGATGGGTTAACCGATAAGTCTCGTGGAAATTGTTTGCTCCTCGCAAACGAGCGGTCGTATTTATTGAAAAAAAATGGGAAACCGCTCCGACCGCGACGGCTGTTCGCGCGTAGAAATATGATATCTGGGGGACAGCTCTTTGAGAATCACTGTCCCAAACCGACGACGTGGACACACGTCGGCGAAGGAGGTTTTAAAATATTCATGGTCGTTGGCCTTACTTTTTGTGTTCTCCGCGGTATTTCTTTCCGCCACGGCGACTCACACTTTTGTGTCGAGGTGTCTTTCAAACGTTCGAGAAAATAGTGTCCCTACTCGAATATTTAACGCACCGATGTCGTTTTAATTTTCTGTGATACGAGAGGATGTTTAAGCGCTATGTCACGCTCTTGAAAATTGATAATTTCTATCTGATTGTGAGAAACTGATATTGGAGTAATAAGTGAATATAATAATAATAATCCACGCCGTAAAGAAATTAATCGACCGTCGCGTTCGACGTTAATGAGGTTGTTGCTTTCTGATTACAGGGAATGTGTGACATGTTCATCCAAACACAGCAGACGAGTAGCGTCAACGGCAGCAGCAGCAGCAGCAGCAGCAGCAGCAGTAACAACACCGTTCACCACCACAGCAAGAAGCGCAAGTTGGATTACAACGTGAGCCAGCCGGTGATCCAGCACGCATTGGTCCAATCGACCAGCGACTACCAATTGGACAATACCGGTCTACAACAACGGTACTCCGTGAACGGTGCTAATACCGCGTTTAGCTCGCTGCACAACAATAATGCGCTGCAGAAGAGTAGCCCGAACCAGCAGACCCTGGTACGAGCCTCGACGATCAAGCTCTTAGATACGTACCAGCGCTGTGGCCAGAAGGTTGGTTGATGCCGCTTCCTACATCTCTTTTGTCGTCACGCTTGTAATTGTCCGACGAACAATCCGTGTGCCCCCTCGCGTGTGCCCCCGCGGGTATACGCGTTCAACGCGCTAAATCTGGCCCGCCGAATTCTACCTTGCATTCATCCATTATAAAGCTCGTTTGTAGCGTGGAATCGCGGACTAAAGTTCAAAATTAGGGAATTGAAATTAGAGACTCACATCTCGAGGTTGATCGCTACGCTTTTTCTAGAGTTTAACTTTTTAATGACGTTAATGATTGACTCCCCTTCACTTTTTCTCTTTTTTTTTCTTTCTCAGCTGAGATTCGTCATTAATATTTGCCATTATTTGCCCATATTTTTCGCTAAACGCGCGGCTTTTGTATATTTTTCTTTCAATACGGCGCGTAATCCGCACAGTGAGCAAACAATTCGCAATGTCTCAATGTCAATTGTTTGCCGGTTTCGAGTTTCGCGGCAGCTTGTTATCGCTTCGCCATTGCTCGTATACTCTCTCGAGCGGACTGCTTATGCACGCTTACGTGTGTTATTACGAGAACGGGAGTAACTACAGTAACGTTCCGTTCGTTAGTTTTCTGTATTCCCCTTAGTGTGGAGTGCAGACGGGAGAAACTTTTCCCCCGCGGTTTTGTACGTGTCGCCGTCTTCAGCGCTCCGACAAATAAAACTTAATGACCGCTAACCGCTTATTGGCATACGGCGGCGCAGATCGAGAGTTAGGTCGTTTTAGCCGAGACCGCGTTTGGCAACGGAGTCGTGATACTTCTCGCTTCGCAACTGATGCCTCTTGCTGCAAGCCGGGCGAAAGGGAAAGGCTCGATCTACGGATTGTAGCGAGAAGATACTGTACTGTCCGTCGTGTCGTTTCGACCGCTCTCGTCCGTTGCATCTTACCGATCTCTCGGCCGTCTCTCGATAGTCGCGTCACAACCGTTCAATAGGATCGCCCCGCGATTAATCAGCGATGAGGCTGATTCCCGATTCCGAGACCTCGCGAGGCTTGACGTGAATCTGTTTCTGGTGTGTGTGGCACGAGTTCGTTTAAACTTAATTTTTAAGAATCGCCCCCTAATGTCTCATTCGATACGAAATCATCCAACGTTCTCTTGCACTCGTCGTCCTATTTGTTCAGCAAAGTTTTGCGTCACGGTTTTGATGTCGATTCGGTAATATCGTACGGTTCGTACACGTCGCGATGTTTTCATTGATTCATTGTGCTCGCGATACGAGTGTCTCTTAAACATTCTTGCTCCATCGTTCGCGATACACAAACACGTCTCGTAATGTTGTCGTTGCGCCGCCGCCGTGTCGTTACGTCGCGCAACTCTCGCCGTCCCTGTTGCAACGCTGAGAGACTCGCGTGCATCGAGCTTTGGATTACCGAGGTTCTAAATCGACGCGCATCCGTCTAATCCGACATTCCTGACCGTTTAAATGGCACACAGTAGCCAGGGACCGAATCTATTTGGCATGCATGCCGATATCCCCGTGGATACTCCGCGCAACGATCGACGAGCGGTCGGTCCTCGGGTTGGTCCTCGAACGCGCGCGCATTCTCATCGTGCGCTTGATTTAGCGTTTGCAGCAAAATCGCCCCGCGTACGTCCGAGAGTTAACGAGCTTCTAATGACAAGGGAGGTATCACAATTTCCTTGACACTCGTTAATTCCCCGATTCGCGACCGTACGGCGCAACGTCGTGGCAAAGTGACGTCTATTACCGGCAAACTAACTTTATGAATACCACTACAAACGAGCCCCGATATTTGCAGCGCTTTGTGCATCTATGCGTCATCCTCGCGCGTATACAACCTGCCGATCGATTCGAAAATCCTCGACGACCGAATCATAGGTGCTCGTTACGCTGTTTTATTTATTAAGAGAAAGAAATATATTTGTCCTCGGACACGAGACTGCCCAGAGCGTCGAGACGGGCACGGCACGACGCATCTCGCACCCTAAAACGGAGTCGGGAGAGCCGGTTGCCACCCGGAAGCGGGTGTATCGGTATCGTTGACGGAGGAGGCTCGTGAAGGAAGAGGCCTCCGCGCGAATAATCCGATTCCTCGAAGCCGTAAAGATTCCTTCCACCTTCTCTCGCTCGGTCGCCCTCCGCCTTTTCCACCGCCCGAAACTCCGGCCTCCAGCCGGTCTTATTAACGGTCATACACCGCGTGTACTCGAAGTGCGCACCGGCGAGGATAATTACAGAGCTGTGGCGATCGTATTTCGGTCGTCTATCGTGCTGGCGGGGTGTGTTGCGAGCGCGTAGTCGTCGCGGCGTAGATAACGTTTCCGTATGGCGTAGTTAACTATCGATTGTGCTTTCAAGGCTTCCATTACATATTTCATGTACCGACCATCGTGCGGATATCGCGAGACGCTAGCTGGGACGCGCACATCCCGTCCGCGTGACGTCCGCGAAATTCTGTCAGATTCGCGACCATGCGCGACGTCGCCGAGGATTGGCGATTCGCAAGGGACGGGGCGGACGATGGTTTCGCCGACGATCGAGAGAGTTTCGCCGACGATCGAGAGAGAGAGATCGTTTCCTTGATCCGCCCGCGATCAACGAGAGCGGGCGTTTGATTCATGGCGCCCGTTGTTCGCAGAATGCACGAATACGCGGGATGTACGCGATATATAACGTTCGCTCTACAGGCACGTATCCGTTAATTGATCTCCAACGACATGCGAATGCGAATCACGCAATCGGTGGCGATCGAAGCTCTCCATCGCGTCGAGACCGATGCGAGAAATCTTTAGCTTCTGGGATCGTCCGTCACAGGTAGTACGTTCGGCGCATTTCTGCGTTTTCCGGAGGTGTCCGGAGTTGTGTGGTCGTCGAGAGGTTTATATAAAAAACGTATATTGTTCCTCGTCGCGATTGCTCTTGTTTTACCGTTTTCCCAATCACCCAACTTTGATGCCGCTCCTCCGCAATCTACTATCGACGGCAATCTCTTAACGCCCAAATATTTTTGTATAAGGTATATTCCCCCTACAGAGAAAAACTTGGTCGAGGGAAGGTAATGGTGACGATCTGGCAGTCCACTCCGCCCACGCGAATGTGGTGGGTTGTACTGTAGTGTCGCAGCACCATACCCAACAGCAACAGCAGCTGCAACAACAACAGCAGCAACAGCATAGCAAGCAGGCAAGCATGACGGCGCATAGCAAGCAAGTGGCCAACGCGGCCAACGGCGGCGGCAGTAGCAATCCCCAGGGCGACGGGGATTATCACTTGGTGCAGCACGAAGTTCTCTACTCCATGACCAACCAGTATGAGGTCCTCGAGTTTCTCGGCAGAGGTACTTTCGGGCAGGTAAGAACAGCCGCGTGATATGCATCCTTTTGTATTTTGAACCGCGTGATCGTCCATCCTTTCCCACGAGAGCGGAGCAGCCGCACAAATTGACAATTTGTTCTTTCGCAGGTCGTGAAATGTTGGAAAAAAGGAACAAGCGACATAGTAGCCATCAAAATTCTAAAGAACCATCCATCGTATGCGCGCCAAGGTCAGATTGAGGTACGCATTGCGATATTAATAAAAAGAGCCGCGGAGACGCGTGAACGTCAATTGGATTATATCCTGCATTACTCCAGACAATTTATCACATTTAAATAACGTATTTGCAGGTCTCCATCCTGTCTCGACTTAGTCAGGAAAATGCGGATGAGTTCAATTTCGTGCGCGCCTACGAGTGCTTCCAGCACAAGTCACATACCTGCTTGGTATTCGAAATGCTAGAGCAAAACCTCTACGATTTCTTGAAACAGAATAAATTTTCACCCCTACCTCTCAAATACATCAGGCCCATTCTCCAGCAGGTATTGACTGCGCTATTGAAACTGAAGGTACAGTATCATTATAGTATGTCATGCGTGTGTAATTTGGTATTTGGATCAACATAGAGAACTAACGTGCAAATGCTTTTATCTTTGCAGCAATTAGGATTGATACACGCCGACTTGAAACCAGAGAATATTATGCTGGTTGATCCAATGCGTCAGCCGTATCGAGTGAAAGTCATCGATTTTGGATCTGCCTCGCATGTGTCAAAAGCCGTCTGTAACACCTACCTGCAATCACGATACTACCGCGCACCCGAGATCATACTGGGACTTCCGTATTGTGAAGCGATAGATATGTGGTCACTCGGCTGTGTGGTTGCAGAATTGTTTCTAGGATGGCCTTTATACCCTGGCAGCTCCGAGTACGATCAAATTCGATATATAAGTCAAACGCAGGGCCTACCGACGGAGCATATGCTGAACAACGCCAGCAAAACAACAAAATTCTTTTACCGGGATATGGACAGTGCGTAATTTGATACAAAACAACGATATCGAGTAGCGAGAATTTTTCTTACAATTTTCGCGCATACTTTTAGGTACATATCCATTTTGGCGATTGAAAACACCGGAAGAACACGAGGCAGAGACTGGTATCAAATCCAAGGAAGCAAGAAAATATATTTTTAATTGCCTTGACGATATCGGTCAGGTTAATGTACCGACTGACTTAGACGGTGGTCAACTCTTGCCAGAGAAAGCGGACAGGAGAGAGTTTATTGACCTTTTGAAGAGAATGCTTACAATGGACCAGGTAGTGACATCGGTAATATCTCTTTTTTTTTTATTTACGGAGGAAACCTTTATAGGTCCCCGGGGAGAGACCAAGGAGTATGCCAGGGATTCTTATCGGCTAAAACTCCCCCGGGTGACCTACTTCAGGTGTTTGGGGGACACACCGGGAACTGGCATTTGCATTATTTCTGGTGTGCCCCCCGCCCGTTCTTACTTTCTTCGCCGGGGCCCGCGCATGTCGAATGTTGTGGACATTTGCGGGACTCCGGTGTCTCAATTTGGGACGCCTTCTCTTTGCGGCGAGGAGGAATCATCACCCCCTCTCGGCGCACCCTCGAGTGTTGATGGGGGCGCGGTCGGGGTCGGGGTCGGGGCCCAAGATTCCCCGCTTGAGCTCCGGCCCCCAAATATCGGTAATATTTAATCGATGCTCTTAATTATTAGAGCGAGATTTTTTTCGTGTATAACATGGAGTTTTTCTCATACAACTGTTGTTTTGTTTAAAGGAGCGCCGTATAACACCCGGCGAGGCACTGAACCACGCGTTTGTTACTCTATCACATCTAGTCGATTACGCGCATTGTAACAACGTCAAAGCTTCCGTCCAGATGATGGAGGTTTGCAGGCGCGCGGGAGATTTCACTGCGAGTCCTGCGCATCATCAGGCTCCGCCGGCGCCTCAGCCACCTCCACCAACGTCTTTAGTAGCCAATTTTGTACCGACTACTAACGGCAGTGCGGTGACTCTCACCTTTAACAATCAATTGTCTAATCAAGTGCAGCGATTAGTCAGAGAACACCGTACCGCGCAAACAGGATATGACAGTCTGGTATGTTTAGATAATCCTTTATCTTGTTATGTTTGCATGTATTAGTTTACTGTTTCCGAAATGGATTACACTCTCATGCTACAACAATATTATATTTTACTCAAAACTTTTAACTTTTTAATAGTCATTGTCTTATGAATTGAGGTATATATGAGATGAATTCGGAATCGAATTTAAGATCTGCCTACGAGTCGACAGACTTTACATACTCCTAACTATGCTCACTTTTCTTTTATTTTAAGTTCAATATTTTATAAAAACTGTTGGCTCTACTTTATTTATTTTTCAATTTTAGTACCAAATATATAGCAACAGCAGTCGACGGGCGACACAATATAGCGGTTCGTCTAGTGGATCCAACAGCGGACGGAGTGGCGTGCACGATTTTCCGCATCAACTGGTACCCGGCATATTGTGTCCACCGCATGGCTATCAGACTATGCCAAGTCCTGCGAAGCACGTAGTTGTTGCTCAAGTAAGAAGAATCGTATATGAGTAATTAGTTTATTATAGGAACAGTTAATCATTAATAACAATTTATTTTACAGCCACCGCAACCGCAACAAGCACCTTTGCAGATACAATCGTCCATTATATCGCAACAAGCTGTGGCCGCGGCGGCTGCAGCTGCCCAGCAACAATATGCTGCAGTTCCCGTGTCTATGGTCGAGACTGGTCGGCAAATGTTGCTTACCGTAAGTAAAACAATGTTCATTTTGAAATGACCATATAATGGTCTGGTGTGTTGACGATCTGATACGTTTATGATCATCATAGAATGCTGTACAGACATCTTGGCCTGCTGGAAGCCGTCAGATGGCTGCGATCGTACCATCGTGGCAGCAGTTACCACCGCAGCATATTCAGCAACCACTGCTTAGCGATACTGGAGATTGGGGAAGGCCTCTTATCGTCGATAGTTCTGCTATTCTACAGGTAGTACTTACCAATAAACTATCCGTAATATTTAACGAAAAAATGAGGCTCTTATCAATATTTGCGAGTAATTTTCTTTTTTATTTTGTGATATTTTATATTATTTATCGCTGCATTATCTATAAAACATTCTTTTCATTTTATGCGTCATAAAATTAGAAACTTCTCACAATAACAGTTTTTAACTAATTTCCCTTGTTTTGGGGAAGGATCAGCGGCCGGTATTTCCTGTCACGGAAGTTTACAATGCTAGTGCACTCGTCGAACATCCATCGCAGAGCTGGGGCAAGCGCACTGTCACTAAACATCACCAGCATCATGTGACGGTACCTCAGCAGACTCAGCATAGACATGAACACAAGAAAGAGACGCAACAACTGAGTCCAGTGAAGAAACGAGTCAAGGAGAGCACACCGCCAAGTAGCATGCGACGACACTCGCCGTCGAGCAGCCATTGGCAAGAGCAGCCGGTGCAGTCTCATCATCACAGTAGCAAACACAGTAGTAGTCATAACGTGGAACATCAGCCAGTCGCAACCGTGCGACAGCAGACCATTACGATTGATGATACGCCTTCGCCAGCCGTTTCCGTTATCACAATCAGTGATAGTGAAGATGAGACACCTGGAAAATGGTGAGTGTTATACCAAGTCTACATCACCAGTATTGTATATATTATAAATTCGTACACTAAAAATGCGAAAATTTTTAATGTAGTTTAGGATATATTTTTAATTTTTAGACTTTAGATTTTAGACTTTAGACTTTAATTTCAAGTAGAGATTGGAACCGATATAATTTTGTAGAGTTCAGATTTAGATATTATAGATACATGTAATGATTCTCATGTTTATTCATATAAAAAGTAATAACTGGTGTAAGATTTTTTTTCACATCTATAGTATTAAAACTCGCATTTTTACCGAGATTGTAATACAAATTTGCTTATCAATCTTTTCAATAGGCAAATCAAGAAAACGTTAAAAATATAAATATTAAAAATATTGACAGATTATATTTTTATTGACAGATTATCTTTTTTGTTGAAAAAAATATTTGGTTAAGCACGCATATTTCTTAGTGCATTATTAGTTGGTAGTAGAATCACGCATGGATATCGTTGACAGCTGTGGAGACCGTCAGTGCAGCGCCTGTCAAAGTTTGGCAACTCGCCTGTCGGGCGACGGACGACCTGTCCGTGAAGAAGTCATACGAAGGTATATTAATGTAATATGGCGGTGTTATGTGATTAACGATAATCAATTAGGTTTTGTTGAGAATATGCAGTTAACAGATTGAATGTCACAAAGCATTAAGATTGATTTCTTACTTTCCATTTCGATACTTTGCTACTAGTCATCCAAAATCAATTTCTACCTAATGTACCTTTTGCTTGGAAAGAAAACTTAGTCTTTAGATTATATATGTATTTAGTATGTTCATGAAAGTTATATTTATATTACATTCTTAGCATAAATTATACATTTTATAAAATCTACTACTAGTTTCAAAAATACGATTTACTTGGTTCACTTGGTTTTATTACGGGATAGATACGGGCTATTTAGGGATCTGGTTGCGGAGCTTGGTGTGAAACAACTGTCGACTAACACAAAGTCACATCACTTAATAAATAAATAACCGTTGCAAATAATCTTTAGCATGCGATATTTCATGGATGCGGCGTTAACTTGCCAATGGTTGAAGCACGCGATGACGATTGCCTCGATGACTCTAAATAAAGAAATTCTCCTTTCCTTGAATTTGCAGTACTCAATCGACGCCGCGCGTTGTACAGCCGATGCAACAGTCAGCACACACGAGCAGTCAGCATGCGAACGGGCACGTTACGACGCACAGCTCGTCGTCACATCGAACGCAACGCAAGAATGTCATTAGCTGTGTAACTGTTGGTGACAGTGACGGTGAAGCCAGCCCAAGTCGCTCTCATGCTCATTTATACCTGCCGCAACACCCGCAGCATCAGCAAACCACGCAGTTAATTAAACATGAGCCGCAGCAACAACATCATGTTAGCAGGTGAGCGCTCAATAAATGACGATTTACGTGAGAGGAATCCGTTAATAAACTTCTCAAAATCAACATATCCGGTTATTTTTTAGTTTTTTTTTATTCTGCTTAACTCTTGTATTAATTTCTAAAATGTGTATAATTGTTAAACTTCTTGATTAACTTTTCCTATCATTGTTACTACAGTAGCTCAGGATATTCCTCTCAGTCACAAAAGAAGCGGCTGTTGGCGAAGGTGCAGTCCGAATGTAACATGGTGAACGTCGCGACGAAACTGGAACCCGGTGTCGAGTACCTTGCTCCACATCCGTGTCACGCGCCAGCTTGCAAAGAGCCACCGACCTATCAGGTTAACTGAGATTTATATCCGCCAGATTTCTATCACGCCTTTTTTTATACATTTTTATTTCTAATTCTCTTGGAACACATGAACTATTTTATTTATTTAATATACTATAGAACACTCGACTAAGCGAGGGAAGAAGGGGAACAAGGCCGCGACAGTTTTATCTTTTTTTTATATATATTTTCTTAGTAATTTCCTTTGATTAATGTTTTTCTAGGATGACGTCTATGACATATATGACCACTGCTTGCAGTATGTGACCACGAGTAGTGCGCATCCTCACCTCCAAGAGCAGCATATTGTGTACACGACCGGCACGGACAAACGAGTGTCCTGGCCTGGGAAGCGAACCGAGTACAAGCATGAGTACGTTCAACCACCGGCTGCTCATTCGAGAGAACATCAAAAGTGGGTGGTGGCCAATCCTGTGCATCAATATAGGTGAGAATCGTCCTCCTCGGCATGATTGCTCGCGTTTTTTTTTTTTTTTTTTTTTATTGGGGCATGTACCGTAATCATGAGACGAACTCTAGAGCGATTTTCGCGACACGATACATAGCGGCGGAGCATGTTCTCATTAAATAATCGGCGTGTTATATGTATGTAAGCAATGCTTTTTTTCAAAAAGAAACGAGCGAGCCAAGCGTGGCAAGCAGTTAACACGATTCTAGGCAAGTAAACGGCATGTGAGTCTCTATCCGATAGAACAAAATTTTTTTATAAATTAGTTTATTTCCTCTTTCGATTGTACGAGAGAGAACTGGAAGAGGAGTTTGCGAATCTGTTGAGTGTGCGCATCCGTTAAATCTTCTATCTCGTCCTTAAAGAGACATATTGCAGTAAGTAAACGAAGCATGTGGACCGCATAACGAAAGGGTGGATTTTGTTTTGCGTTTTGTAGGCAGAGCCAGGTCGTAGGTACGGCAGCCCATCCGGGCCATACCCACAGTCATCACGGACATCCGGCTCATCTAAGTCCCGGCGGCAGTGGCGGTGGTAGGAGTCCCGCCGGTGGGGCTGTGATAGGAAGCGCCCAGCATTTGGGACAGCCCCTCTACCAGGAATATGCTCACGTGCGCTCGAGAGCCCACGCGGTGCCGCCTCCTGTGTACGTTACCGCGGCACCATCGCAGGCTGCTACCGCTATCCAGCAACAAATGCCCACGTATCAAGGATTCACACCCGGGTGGGTAACTAGAGAACTAGTCGATGCATGCGTCTACCCATCTCTACATATTTATTCTAGCGTTAAATTTATATCATATGTGACCCCAAAGTAGACTTGTGATTGCGAGTTTATTCTTTCGTAAACGTTACGTTTCGTGGCATGTATTAAATCGAAGCGCAAACTCGCAGGAAACCGATGTTTAGTTTTCACTTTTCGAAAGGCATTATATGGCTCGATTTTTGAAAGTAAGCTTTGATAAGTGTTCGCGGGAAAAAGTTATGTCAGGTAAATCAAAATTTTTTTAGCTTATTTGTTGGTCATTCAAACTTACGCTGAAAGATATTTTCCTTCATTGTGTAATGTAAAATAAAATATATATTAAATAAGAAATGTACATCTAATAAAATAAACGTGAATAATATTATTAAGCACAAAAGATCTAGCCTGAACGTATATTGGTACATTTCCTATTTACTTAATTGTTATCATAATCGGTCACTCTCGGTGACTCTCTTAATATAATGTAAAATAAATTGTAAGAAAATATAATTAACATTATAATAAGTGCAAAGAATTTATTTCATATCGTTTTTACTTGAACAAAATTTTGTCGAGAATTTTTTTATCTGATGACAAACATCGAGATCCTGCCAATAGAAAATTTGTAACGTAGAATTTTGTCAAAGTTAATTGTTGTCCTGAGTTTACCCTGAAATGCTTGTATACTATATTATAAGAAAAAACTTATAATTTTCTTTTTTTAGAGCTTTATGGAGACTTTCTAATGTGCGTTATCCCGTTTTTTACAGCTCGTCTCCATTAACGTTGTATGATTCTAGTCGAGCGTTGCCACCGCCAGCTCATCACAGCTCGGCCAGACCGTTACTGGCGAGTCACGCAGCACATCCGTTGCCTGCGCATATGCAGCCTGCAGCCGTTTATGGATTGGCCCCGCTTTCGCCAGCCAAACACCAATACCAACCTTCCAATTTATGGTTTACCGAGTAAATTATTCCTGTCGAGAGCCGTGAATTAGAGTTGTGTACGAACAAATAATTAACGAGTAAATTGTACGATTTTCTGGGAACTTACGAGCTGCCCGTGCCAATCAGCGAACGTCGATCAAACGTAATGGAGAAAGAAAAGTGTCGTGCGTATTTTCCCCGTTTTCGTGCAGGCCTGGCCAGTAAATGAATCGGGTAGGGAGCGCCTGAACCGATGCGATTGCGAGTACGATCAGTAGCACGATAACACAGATTCACGATCGAGCGAGTTTGCCGAAATGAGTAAAGAGCAGGAGTGTGTTAAGGCAAAAAATTTTGACAATCCGTCCTATATATAAGCAGCGACCACTCCTTTCCGACCGTTCTCGTAGGAAACGAGACACGAGATCACGGTCAATATAACTAGATCTCTCTTTGTATATGTTTATTACGTCTTTCTTATCTTGTCCAAAACAATTCCATCGTCTTACCGTGACAATTTCATAAGGGGGAAAGAAATCGAGGGAGAAAGACTATCCTGCTTTGACATGCGATTGTACGTGAGCTGATTTCTCACGAGATTTATCATCTGGCACATTTCTTTCTTTTTTTTCTTCAACTTCGAGTGACACGTGTATCTTGACGTATGCGGCATGCTTTAAATTTCGTAAGTTTCCAGAGACACCCCGATGTTTTATTACGGAAACGGTAGAGTTTATAAGGACATTGTACAGACCAAAATTTTCTATCGAATTGTCCCGATCTGTTTAAGGCTCATACGTATGGTTTCTCTCTCTCTCTCTCTCTCTATTGTACATATATATATATATACATATATATGGAACTGATACGTGACTTAAACAGATCGGGAACGTTAATATCGATGATAGACGAGATACGCACGTATAGCGGCAGTGCCGATCCACGTGTGCGTGGAACTGTTATTAACGAACATCCTTCATATGCGATAGTAGCAATTTAATTTAAATGCGTATGAGTCTGCATTTCTTTATATGTCGCAGGACATATCGCGCGCGAGTATCTTATTTTTAATGCTCCTTAACAAAATCATTTTAGCAAACTTAGGTTTTTTCCGATTGTTGTAGTAGCGTTCCTTTTGTTCTTGCTCGTGGAATTTTTTCTATTACATTAAGAATATCGCTAAGGGATGTAGCGCTCTATAATCTTTTACGATATTTTATTCATAACGGGCACTCAAAACTAACGAGGTAGCCACATTATTCTTTGTAGTTTGTAGCTTGTTATTCAAGTATACGTTAACACACATACTATACAACATACATGTATACACATACATACGTCCACACGTACATTATTTAGTTATATCGCATATTCCGAACTTCTTCGAGTAGGATTATTCAAGTAGGGTTGTCGTAAATATATAGGAGCATTCGTCAGAAATAAGCCAGAGATTTAGAATCGAGTCACGAATTTATTAAGGTGATTGCACGATATCCAAATCGACAAAAGCTTTGACGTGCCTTTTTTGGAACAGTCTCATTATTTATTATCCGTACATTATTACTTTATATCGTCTTCATCTTATCATTTTCATCGTCATCATGCTCGTTATCATCTCCATTGTCATTATCATTGCTAACTATCGTTGTTCTTATGCCTAATATTTTGTTTTGAATTGTATAAATAATATTATACAGGTAGCATGCCTTGAGCTCGTGGTTTGAAACGCGAAATTATATGACCACAATTTTGAAAAATTCATCAATTGTATATAAGTTTAACAATGTTTCATTAATATTTCTTTTTTCATTAATGCTTTGCATTTTGGCAAAAGGAAGATATTCGAATCAAGTACCATTGCACAAATCAGTGAAAGAAATAGAAAAAGAAATGAACAAGTGATATAGTTTCTGTTTTCAATACAGAGTAGAGTAATTCTCCTTAAATGCTGAGAGAGAAATAGAAAGAGAACGCATTCTGTGAAAGAAATGTATGCCAAACAGCAATAAAGTATCATAATGAGTCTTACGATAAAGAATTTCTCGCGGATATCACAAACTCGCATATTATGCATATTTCTTTTTCCGCGTGTATAGATGTAATAATAATGATACGGGGGGGGGGGGGGGTTCTATTTATAAATAGTTTTCATAAAACGAATTTTCGCAATTACTTTTTTCTCGTTCAATCATGTTCTTCCTTGTTGCATTTTCCGAATTATAGTCAACATTATACATTAGGCTTGGTCAACTTCGATCACCGGAGCCACATAGTTTCTTCCTTTTCATCCACGGAAAGTAGGGGGAAAGGGAGAAGTGTCGTGACGAAAAAGCTTAAAGTTGACCAGGCCTGTCTCACATCAATGGTTTTCACTCTAGTTTATCATTCTCAGGCGGTATATCATAGACGCGGTACGCATACACACATACATAGTTCTTCAGGTACCGGCGTCGTTATACGCAACTGCTAATACATGTATTTCGTGATTTAATGGAATAACGCTTATAGGCATTGTTTCACTAATTCTATTAATATAAATGTATAGAAAGTTTGTAACGGTAATATTCGGCGTATATGGGATTCATTGCGGTATGTTGTTTAGAGTGATTCACGTCCAGAGTTTAATTAGAGATATTTTACACGTAGAGCGAGAGTGTGGAAAAGTGCGAAAGAGTGAGTGTGAAAGAGAGAAAGAGAGGAGAAAATTACAGAATATATAGATATATAAAGATATACAAGTGTAGCGTAGGTGTAACGGAGTTTTAAACATGTTACCGGTATCACTGAGAAGAGAGCCCTTTACGCGATACAATAAGTAAGCGACAAACGATATACAGCTGCAATTTAACTATATATTTAACTTATAGAGCAGGGCCGTTACGGCTATCGGGTCCATGATAGCCTCGCAAATCTCTCGAGTGCCTTTATATCGAGAGGCATCAGATGAATCGACGTAATCTAACGATGCCGAACTTTGCTTCGGCAAAAGCAACCCTAGACTTCTTCGTTTCTTCTTCTTCTTCTTCTTCTTCTTCGTTTCTACAGTTACGCAGTTTAATCCCCTTATACTTAGGATCGAGCGATTTGCCCTTTCGTATACGCATCAATACGTTTGTACACGTTGTACGAGGAAACAAAAAAAAAGAAATATTTAACCAACTCGATGTGCCTGTTTAACGAATAATCGTATTTACACTGGGTAATTAACTGTAACGGGAAAAAAAAGAAAAGGATAAGTAAAGAAGGGAAGTCCGTTCTTCTTTTTCTTCGACATAGACTGAGTGTGTTATAACATAACGTACGTTTCAGTGAGGCATCGCAATCATCATAAACCGTTTTGCTACGTGTTTGGTATCCACCTCTCTCGGTCTCGGCATAACGGTCGCGCCCAATTGTACATATACATACATGCTTCCACGTATGACAGTAGAGATACTCGCGTCGCATTAAAAAAAAAAAAAGAAAAAAGGAAAAAGATAACTACCGTAACTGTCCTCCGCGTGAGAGTCGTGAGAGGAAAACACGAGTCATATCCTTAGGTTTCACCAGCGTCGGATGTGCGTAGAACGTGCGTGCGCGCGTGTGTCGCACGTGCACACGCACGTGCACGCGCTTAGACAAGTAGTCATACCACGCGATAGCGATAAGTTTTATCCCCCATCCATCTCGTCACCCCGTAATAAGTTCGCGCGCATTATAACTAGATCGATGATGATTTTAGTCATGTTTTTCACGAGCAAGTTTTGACTGACGACTGAGATTTCGAGAGATAATAATAATGAAAAGATTGTATGGCGTTCGAACGATTGTAGTCATATTTAACGTTATCGTTTTCGTCAGGTATCCACGTGAGGAAGACCCACGTGGTGGTGGACAGGGTGGTGAGACATTTTAGGTGGGTGACATATCGACATATTTTAAGGGTACAAATCGTGTACGGACCACTTACTTAGGTCGACTTGATTTTCGTATTGTATCGTACCGAGAATGTTTGAGTTTCTGAAGTCGATCGTCAATCAATGCGTGCTCTCCGAGTCATGTTAACGCACTCATGATCATTTTAACGCATATATGTTACACGATGTAAATAAAAAAAAAACGCTCATACCCACCACATACACATACACACACACACATACACACGCACACAATAAATTACCTAAGTAAAAAGAAGTAGAGACGCTATAAAACGCTGTGTGGAAAGTTAAGTAAAAGATACCGTAACTGTATCAATGGTTCTATATAGTTGTGATATTTTATTATAACGCTGATAGTCGTGCGCAGTTAACTTTAAACGGGTTCTTTTGCGTGCCCGACCACATATATAAATTCATATATACATCGTGATATATATATATATATATATATATATATATATATATATATATAAAGTATATAGGAGTATCTTAATCTTAATACATTGATTATACGTGGGAGGGAGATCGTACGTTACTGCAGTAAAAGTAATTCACGATGACCGATAAGGCGATATTGACCTTATGCGCGATTCCTTTTTTTAATTCCGAAGTCTAAGCTATATCGCATGAACTTTCACGGATGTTTCCTTTCGTCACTTTTCGTCTTTGGAATATCATTTAAAATGTTTAAGGAAATTCAATGTTCTGTGGTTTTAGAACTATTTCGTGTTAAAATTGTGTGACCGGTAGATTTTCCCGCGATACGAAACAGGTTTTTATACATTAGTCATATAATTGGCATTCGATTTTCTAGAAATGCTGACTGATGAGTTGTAAAAGTAATGTTTGTCCGCTCGCACACCGCGGTCGTGCGCAATTGTAACGTTTACTCCTTTCGTTAGTATAATAACACATATTAGAGATAGGCATCTAGTTCTTTTAATCGTTTTGGAATATTTGTACATATGTTTTTCTTATTGCATCCGTGGTGGGGGAGTGATATATTAGTCTTAGGTGTAGTGCCTAAAGTGATGAGATTAAGTGTGTCCGATAATAAGATTTATTTAACGTATATAGAATCTCCAAGTCAATTCCGCGCCGGTGGAGAAAAAAATTTATTGGATCGCGAACGATCGCCCGAGAATTGAGGCTTGATTTGATATTGAAATTACTCAATTGGAAGTTGGTAGTTTCGATATTAACGAACTCGTCGATGAGAGGAAGAAACCGGAGGGGGGGGGGCGATAGGCCCGTGTGATCAGTATTTTTTTGTGTACGGGCCGCGGATTATTTATAAAATCATGCAAAATCGGGAAAACGCTTGGGTGTGCTTAGCGTGGAAAGATATTCGTGTAAATATACGGTGAAACGGCAAAGAAAAATGAAAAAAAGAATATAGGATAAGGGGGCAGGCTTACTATTTCATTGTGGAGTTAGGATTATAAATATTCATCGCGTTATACGGACAGTTCGTATAAAAAAATTATATTATTACTGTAAACAAAGTAACATTGACTCTCATGAGAGATAGACATGTAGCTATAAAGTATAGGAAAGAATAACATATTTTTGGAGTTAATAGAGGATTGATATTGTACTGTGCTCCGTAAGTTATTGAACGTTTCTCCTTCTTAGGTTCTCGGTCTCTATTTGCTAGATTGCTCGTCGTAATCGGACCACATTTACAAAGTATGGACAATTGTTAGCTAAATTTTAGCCAGTTTTGCCAATAAATCGAATTGATTATCAAGTTTTATCGAAACGCTACGTATTATCAAATCACTCGAGTCTACTTAAATGTATTCGATTAAATGTCTTCTGAAACGTTTCTACTCATATTCCGAAATTCTAGATTTGTTAGAAAATATAATATAACGTGTAGATCTAGTATTACATTTAGAAAGATGTAATATTCAGCGTTCAAAAAAATGGTTTTTGAAACTTTAGTATTTACACCTGAAATTTAATGAAGCATAAAATTTGATCTAACGCGGAATATAATCATTAAAGTGTCGATCATAGAAAATTCTAGAAGTTGTTACTGAGATAAATGAAGTCCGATTAGAGAAGCAAGAATAAATAGTCTGTCGCGCGGGTAATTATAAAGTAGGAAGCGACGAGATTCATTATCTGACTGTTCTTCGATGTTCTTAATGTTCACTATTATACTATGGTAATGTAACGGCAAATAATAATCAACAGTGGGACTTGTACTACATACGTTTATCGATTTATGCATAATGCTGTATTATAAAGATTAGTCATAGGTGAAGAGAGAGAAAGCGAGAGAGAAAGAAAGAGAAAGAGAGTACCCTCGTATGTAGACACATGATTGTTTAGATTCTCTGGCCGTTTACAAGTTTCATCTGGCTAATATAGGCAACTCTCCTGATTAGGCATGTTTTTTCGAATGGAAAATATTCACTCCACGAGTCGGTAGTGAATTTGGTGTTTTACAAATCGAACGTTTCAGACTCCTTCCTCGTAATGTAGAGGACGATCCAGCTCGCAAACTCTTAGATCGCCGGATCGTTCGTGCATTGGACCAGACAGAGATTGATCTTTACACTCATATTTGTAGAATAAAAAACAGGCGCGTGCGTAATTAGAGGACTCTTTTTACAAACGCAGGCCACATTTTTCACTCTTTCGAGTCTCTCCAACATTTTTGGTACGTACACACACGTTGAGGGACCGAAAGCGTCGTCTCTTCTAGTATCCAGCGGCGTGCAAAAGCTCGTATTTTAGCTACAGTTTGTGTGAAATGGACAGTATTCGTTTCTTTACTACTTATTATCTTTAGGCATGAATTCCCTTAGCCGTTCAAATTAAGAATAATCAGCATAAAGTCGGAACAAATTATAGAAGAGGCACAGATGTATGTAAATGTCCGTCTCATTTCGACCTCTATATACGATTATAAAGCCGCTTGCTGTTCTTTATCGACAAAGCATATGTCTACGCTACGTATTTGTACTGTGTGTAGAATGTACGTCTCTTTCGTGTGTATTTTAATACTACGATAATAGTAGTAACGCGCAAGTTGCATAATTATTGATGCGTCGTTCTAACGTGATTACAAGTATCGTTTATTTCGACATTATTAACAGTACAGATTATCGCGAATTCCTTTAGTTTAAGCATCGTTCAATTACGTTTTCGATACATTATACTCGATAATCTCCAACATGTAAATTAATTTCTTATATTTACAGAGCTAATTGTTATCTAAATCTACTCGTTCGAACTAATTTGGCAGGACAAATTATAACTTTCGACGGATAGACTGATTTTATGAAGCAATTCAGGCCCGTATTTATATCGCGCGCTTAATGCTAAATTTTTTGTTTGATTTCAAGTTTTATCTGTTCACGAGGAAGATCTTAAATCAGCCGAGTTTCATGTGTTGGGTGCGGCTTTTCGCACACACATAAACGCGATTCACTAATGCGAGCCTCAATTATCAGAAATAGCGTCGAATACAATTCTCTACGATCGCGCGTGTATTCACTCTGTCAAACTTCTTTTAGGGAAGAATTTTCGTAGCGTTGCCTTACTAATGAATTATTACCGATATATACGATAATTGTTATACGCGACATATACACATACATACATGCATACATACATACATACATACAAGCACGTTGCCGAATAAATAGATTGTTAAATACATTGTCATCGATTAATATACTATCTGCCAAATCTCTTTCTCTTACACAAACGAACAAACATCACACAAACATCACGAGAGATCTGCGTTGCGGGTAGATTTAGAAGCGTGCGACTGCGTCTGTGAAAATTATTATTTGGTTTGGAGATATCACGATAAGTCGGGAAAGCTTATCAGCATTTCTAGCTCCTCCAGCGACGTGGATCTTTCTTTGGACCACATATATACATGCATACGCCAAGAATATAGTAATCCTAATTGATCGCCCGAAGTGGCGAGTAAAGTGAAGTTTCTAAACTACGATTAATAAGTGTATAGAGCGTTTTTGAGCTTTCGAGGCTTTCCCAAGTCTCTCAAGGTATTGTAATTTGAATCCAGAACTATCTTCGCTTGCGTATGTGGTGGCCCGCTTCTTTGCGGGCCCGTTCATTAACACACGGCGGCACACAGGTCGTAGTGTCACGAACAGTGTCACACGTCGAGAATATCTAAGCACGAATAGCCGACAAGCAATTCAAACATTTTTATCCGAGGCTCTTTTTTATACACATGTATCATAATGTAAATTGTGAGATGTTAAATGTTCGCTTACCATGATTGTCATTTCCAAATTTAGCGAAACGAAATTATGTTGCTGCGAATCCGCTTTGTAATCCATCGTTTACAATTACACATCGGTCAATTTATTGAAAAATTAACTAATGTTGAACAATCAGCTCTTTGGTTAGTGTATCATGTGATGAATTCGAGGTACACCTCCGTAAAAAGTTATTTTGATCTGTTATCAATATATTGTATATATTGATAACAATATATATTTCAGTTATTGACTGAGATATACGAAATTTGACCTTCTGAAATTTACATTTGGAGTTTACATTTATATCTTTGGCAATGTATTTTCATAATTTACTCGAGAGTTGCTCTCCGATTATGAAAATAATTGGCATGGATACGCGCAAATTGAAGCAATGAAGAATTAGTGTCTTTAACAGGAATATAGTTACTATAAAGTAAAGAGGAATTCTAATTAAGGGCTTTAGAATAGACTTAGGTAGAGCGTGCCTTGCGTTAACCGCGACACCGTCATCGCTGAGTATCATCTCTCATCGGGGAATGTCATATTCGTGCTAATCCGTACTTGGGCACTCGACAGGTGTGCATCGTGTGCGATTGACCGTTTAAAAGTACATATATAATTATATATATGTATATATTACAAAATATATGTAATTATATATGCACGCATCTACATACATAGATAATAAATAAATAAATATACACACACGCATATATATTATAAATATATTATAAATATTACATCCATTACTATAAATATTATACATATTACATAAACGAAGCTTGTGTACGTGCGACGGATTATTCCGGAGGTCGACCAGAGTACAAAGCGTAGATTTAGTTTGGCCTCGGAAATACTCTGCGCACGCGAAGTCGAATCGATGTCATCGACGAATGTTAGTACTGAAACATATTGTTTAACACAAAAAAAGTATGCATAGTGTAGAGAAAGAGCCGCCGATCGCCACGTAAATATCGTCGCATCGACTGAGAACGGATCGTCTGCTTCTTCATTGACAATAAGCGAAAGTTACGGCGGATAACTTATCGGGACGAATGAAACTTCTCTGATAAAAATTCAAGTTTGGATACTCTTGTTTGATGAATAATGAAA